ACTTCATTATTTTTTTTAAATTCATGTACCGTTATAATCTTTAATCAAATACATTACCCTTCCCTTCCCCCTCGAAACGACCACTCTTCTCTTTCGGTCACGTGCAATGGCGAAAGGGTGCGGCCAGAGCCGATGAGGGTGCGGCTATCGGTGCACCGCCTCTCAGAGAAGATACATTCAAATCTGCCTCCATTTTGTTTGCAACGCCCACCCTCCAAAGATCCAATCAATTCCCGAAGGACGAAATCAAGCCCCGCCCTACATTTTTTTCTAATTTCAGAAGACGTTTCACTCGGATATATGTCACAACAAGGAAAAAATGACAATCTCAACTTCCGTTTCATGCCGACTTTAATATTTTTGTGGAAATCAATTTTCAAGAATCTTTGATGAATAGAAATTTCAAAAGAACAGAAATCTTTTGCAACATTATAAATGTCTTTACTGTCACTCTTAATCAATTGAATGCGTCCTTGCTGAATAAAAGTACAAATTTTACTGATCCCAAACTTTTGAACAGTAGTTTATATTTATTTGTTTTGCTAACTTGCTTAGATTTTCTATTTCTATTGTTTCCAGTGTTCACTTCCTGTGTTAAGTTCCTCTTTTACTTTGCTCCTATAGTTACTCTTATTAGTCTCCATAGTGATTTGGTCACCTGTTCCTTGTTATTCTGTGAATTTATACCCCAAAATTCCCTATCAGTCAGTCACGTTCAACGTTACGTTGAAGGCAGATAGGCAGAACCCTATTGCTGATAAGCAACCGCTCGCCTGAATGAGTTAGTTCCCACTCGTCAATGTCCATTGGCTTGTTTTGTTACCAGTGATTGGCTCCCAAGTGAGATCCCCCCACAACGTCAGTCTTTCGACGTAACGTCTCCATTCCATACTTCAGGGAAGGATGCGTTTGTTGTTTTTAGTTCTGTTGTGCCTGCCTTGCAGTGATGGCAGAAATATTCTTTTCGAAACTTTGAATCAATTGTATCTATTAAATGCAGTTAACAAATCATCTAATACCATTAACCGTCTTTATAATATGTGTTAATTAATTACATTGTACAGCTTGATTTGTTTGTTTTATGGAGAGCATGGTTAAATAGACCAAGAGACTTTTCACTACAACTCTTCTTTTTTTTATACAAATGTGTCATTAAATGTTTACAAATTTATAAAATTGATCAGAGATCAGATAAAACCTGTACAGACATGAGAGATCATCGCATCGAAATTTCAAAACGGTTGTGATGTAACTAAGCCCTATTTACTGAAATCATGTGACTTTGACAGTTTGATACATGCTCCGAACTGAAAAGGTTTCAAAGCTTCACAAAACAGTTTTCAAAAGTGCCCATCACTTCTGCTTTGTGTCACTGGTGCTTGTTTATAAGCAGCGCATGAAGAAATCAGGAAACAGTTTTTAATAATAAATCCAAACGAGGAAAACCCAACCACATGAAATCATAGATGAGACAAAACAAGAAACAGAGGAAAACACAAATTTAAATACACAGGGACTAACGAGTTAACTATTAGACCATCAGGTGATAGGAATACAACACTCAGACACACTGGGAAACTGGGTCAAATGAACGGGCAAATATGACAGAACTAAAAACACTGAACATACATGTTGTTCTACTCTTTGTCTTTCTGAAACACCCTGCATTACAGATGGCAAAGATTCTGAGGTTTTAAGAACTTACCGTTGCTTGATTCTCTGTTGTAATCCTAATTGAGAAAAAGGTTTTATAATTTCAGTTTGTCTGGACAAACATAATATCATTATACAACAAGGATTTATCATGGTGATTCCTTACAGTGAGTCACAACACAAGTGGCTAAAGCTTACTAAATTCCTTGCCACACTGATTTATGTATTTGACAGACAATGTATATGTTGCTAGACTTATTTTAAAAAGAAACAGCTATTTTCACAATTCAAATTTAAACGGACGGGGGGTTGGGGTACTTTTTTGAGATTGTTGATAGTTTTCCAGATATCTATTTAAGGCTATCTATATTAAATAATTAAGCTTACTAATATTTTTTTATTCTTGGCTTCTGAATCACAAACACTACAAACTGCAAATACAAATATTTTTTAAATATTCACCAGGAATGGTTTTCCAGTTTAATCTTGGTTCCAGTCTACTTAAACCCACACCATTTCAGCTTTTATATATGCGTTTTCTTAGGGTATGTTTACACGACAACGATATGCCTAAAACGGAGAAGTTTTTCCTTTGAGTTTTCCGCGTACAGACGAACGATCGTGTTCGGGTCAAACTAACGTGTCAAACCGATCCCCATTCACACGGATACGTGAAAACGACTAAAAACGCTATATTCTGCTGCCAGGCCATTAGATGGAACACTAGAGGCTGAACTTGCAATATGTTTGTGCATGACCTCATTGTCTTCAGAGATTTTTTTGAGTTTTTGTTGTTTACACGGAGAATGTTTTTTAAAAACTTGCACTTTAAAACCCGTTGTCGTGTAAATGAACGGCCAAAACGCATAAAAAGATTTATGTTTAGTAGAAAATGGTGTCGTGTAAACAGCCCCATCGTTTTCACAGATTCGCGTTTTTGATGTTTAGACGGAGACGTTTTCAAAAACTTGCACTTTGAAACCTGTTTTCAAGACTTTGCGTTTTCAGGCACCCAAAACGCCGTTGTCGTGTAAACGAACGGCCAAAACACAGAAAGGGCCCTATTTTAACGATCTAAAACGCAAGTGTCAAGCGCAAAGCGCAAGTAACTTTGTGGGCGGGTCTTGGGCGCTGTTGCTATTTTCCCGGCGGGATAAATGACTCTTGCGCCAGGCGCAAATCTAAAAGGGGTTGGTCTGAAGTAGCTTCATTGGTCTGAAGGCGCACTTGTTCTAAAGCGGATTCCTATTATAACGGCGGATTTGCCAGGCGCGCGCCAGGAGCGGTTCACAGCCGAGGAGAGCAACGTTCTCGTCAGGGCCGTAAAACACAGAGAAGTGACATTGGGGATGGAGAAATCCACCCAAATTAACTTCTGTTAAACAGGCGTATGATAATTTGGGTAAATGTGTAAGCTACATGTATGCTTTTATAATAAATTATTTAAATATTAAATAATTATTTGTCTGAGCTACTCTGTCCACACAACCCCACACGAAACCTGAGGTCTGGTGATCAGAGACTTCTGTCTGTCCCCAGATCTCGGTTAAAGAATAGAGGGGACAGAGCCTTTGCTGTTGCTGGCCCTATAGGCTGTGGAACAGCCTTCCGGTTTACATCAGAGCTGCTCAATCTGTAACTGTTTTTAAATCCTCTCTTAAAACCTTTTTTTTTTTTTTTAGCTTTTAATTCATTGTGAGCTTCTGTCATGAATGTGTGGTTTGTCCTTGTTCTTTATCTTGTGTATTGTTCAGCACTTTGGTCAGCCCTGTTTGCTGTTTTTAAATGTGCTATATAAAAAAAAAAAAAAAAAAATTGTCTATCTATCTATCTATCTATCTATCTATCTATCTATCTATCTATCTATCTATCTATCTATCTATCTATCTATCTATCTATCTATCTATCTATTGTAATAATGTATGATTTGCAAAAATGAAAACTGCTGCTTAGATGAGAGATGCGCGTTGTGCACACGCTACATTGATTATGGCCAAGCATGCGCCCTTAAAATAGCATAATGAACAACGCGCAACGCGCCACTGACTTTAGACTAGTTTTTTCTGGTCAGTGGCGCAATTGTTTTATGGAACAGCAAAATAGCAAAAAGGATTGTTTGCGCCGGAACACGCCTCCTTTTTTGCACTGAACCGCTCAGGGAGCGCAAGTTCATTTCCTAGTTTAGTGACGTGCTTCTGTGGAGGGAAAATCGCGCTTTGCGCGGGTGCAAAATAGGAATGATACATGCGTCGGTGTAAAGTCAATTGCGCTGGATGCAAGATAGGGCCCAAAATGTTTTACGTTTTTAGTTGAAAACGCGGTCGGGTAAACAGCCCCTAAATTTGAATTAACTTTGTTAGTATCCTGCTGTGGCTACTTGCAAATGTACTGTCTCCACTGGAGTCTTGTTTACCTTAAACAGAATACAGGTTTTGCAAAATTCGGCTGCCAGAATCTCAATTTTTAGGTTAGCTTTTAATTGATTTATTGTCTTTTATGTTTATTTTACTGTGTATTATGTCTCTTTGTGTGTTGTATCTTTTAATTGTTTTTGTACAGAGCTTTGAGATGTGCATTTAATGGCGCTATAGAAAATAAAGGTTATTATTATCATTAGTGTGCTTCTACACAAGTGTATGTCTCCTTTGGCAAATATTGCAGTTGTAGTTTGTTTGAGCCTTATTTCCTTTTTCCAGTGGTTCTAGTTCTATGTGCTATTTGTCTAGCTTTTTGTTCTTTAGTATTGTATCTAAATTTCGTATGAAATGCAATGTACATGCAATCCAATTTTATGACTGTTGAAGCATTTAACACAATGAATAGGCCAGGCAGACTGAATATATGAACTGGAAAATGTTAATTATTCTTGTTTTTGGTATCACTGTTTATTGCCTCTATATTGTTGGCCAGAAGAGAACTGGCCCCCCGACTGGGCCTGGTTTCAGTCACCTGATTGAGTTTTGGTTCCTTGCCTCTGTCGCTTTTAGCTTGCTTAGTTGGGGACAATTAATATTCAAAAATATTATTGATCTGCCTGAGAACTGAACTGAGCTGGATGGATGATGAGATATCTGTTTTCTACAGAGCGGCTATAGATAAATGTACTTTTTACAACAAAACTGAACCATCTCTGAACTTACTTAAGCTGACACTATTTTCTTCTAGATCTGTTGTTCAGCCGAAACAAACTTTGTTGCATAATTTTCCTGTTATCACTGTAAAGCTGCTTTGAAACAGTATTGTAAAAAGCACTAGGCCGATATAAATAAAGGTGACCTGACTTGACTATTGTCTTGTATATTGTGTTGTGCTATATGTTATTCACAAAAAGAACGGTGCTGTCTTACCACTGTAAAGATGTCCTTGAAATTGGCAGAGACTGCATATGTCAACAAACAAAAGTGTTAATTGGACAGGCATTGCTGTCACATGAAATGTATTAATTACTAGGCATGTTTGGGATTGCACACTACTAGTATACCTGCTCCTGAGTGGAGTTATGAAGCGCTTACCTTCTTCTGCTACATTTACTGTTATCTGCTGTTTTTTATTTCCACTGGTGACCTGGCACATGTAAACTCCCAGATCAGACTCTCTAAAATCTTTCACTCTTAAGGACACATTCCCTTTCACCAGGTCATGAATGAACAGACTGGCTCTGTCCTCATAGTCAACACCCTGTGTCATCTTTCTGGTCTTATAGCTGCACACACATGACGTCCCATACCAAGTAACCTCCATGTCAACAGCACTGATTGCAGGAGACAAGTGACATGAGACAATGAGAGTAGATCCCAAACAAATCTTAACTCTTTCACCTCTTTCAGGGATAACAAGCTGAAAGTCATCTGTGTGAGAAAAGAGAGAGATTCAAATATCACATGTACTGGGATTTTGTTCGAACAGGTCATTCCTATGATTCAGTGTGTTTTAGTACTTTTAAGGTATTACTACTTTTGTTTGTTTTTAGACTGTTGGTTTCTCCATCTAAGGTAGTGCCTGTATCAAACGTATAACAATGTCAGCGCTCAAGTAACAAATATTTCAAAATGTCAAATTCATAGTCAGACCCGTAAGAAACTTGCAACACATTAAAGGGATACTCCACCCAAAAATGTAAATTCTGTCATCATTTACTCACCCTCAAGTTGTTGCAAACCTGTATGAGTTTCTTTCTTCTGCTGAACACAAAGGAAGATATTTTGAAGAACGATTGGGACCAAACAGTTGTTTGGTACCATTGACTTCCACAGTAGAAAAAAAAAAATACTGTGGAAGTCAATGGTGCCCCACAACTGTTTGGTTCCAACCGTTCTTCAAAATATCTTCCTTTGTGTTCAGCAGAAGAAAGAAACTCATACAGGTTTGCAACAACTTGAGGGTGAGTAAATGATTACTTTTTGGGTGGAGTATCCCTTTAAGAGCTATTATACTCACTGAATTCTCTCTTTCCACTCTACTAATTCCTAACTTTACAGTCTTACACAATATAAAGGCTAAATCATATAATATAAATGTGTGTGTGTGTTTGTGAAGTTGAACTGTAAGAATTACCTAAATTAATGCATTGCAATAACAACATAAAATGTTTAAAGTTTTTAAAACAATCACAATCCATGACTGTAAAGCCCCACTCCCCAGCACCCCATGTGTTGATTAATAGTTAAAGCAGATAACGAGAGTAGTTTAGAATAATTTGAAGAGAACTTACTGCCACCTCCAGCTGCCATGTTTCTTTTCTAAAACAGGAAGAAAACACATCCAGTGAGAGAGAAAAGTGATTTCAGTCTCACATCACACTGGCTATATGCAAGCCAACACAAGTCTGGTTTCCTTTATTGTATGGATGATTAAGATCGGAATTTCACCTACTGTATCTTTCCCCTTTCTCACATAGAGAGCTATACGTGTAAATCCTAGATGAGCTGAGAAGGTTAGGATAATAGATCCATACATAAGATGCAAAGACCTTCACAACAGCTAAAGATGTCCACTACAATATAGTGCACTACACTACAATAATTTACCTTCAAAAACGTATGTAGCTATTGTATTCACCCTATATATTATAAATTATTCTAAAATAATTTCTGGTTAAGAAAAATCCCCTTGTTCACAAAAACACTAAACGCATTCATGTTTAGCGCTAGCTAGTTCAAGTTATTATTGGTGTAAGAAAATGACAAATAAGTCATAAGTTTGGCCTCTTCTTACTCCTGAAAGTCCATAGTTGACTTTCATTATGTTTCCTTCCAAAGCATAAACAGCCTAAGACCAAAAATCGAGGCTTTCAAGATTTAAAATTAAGATGATACATACTAAAATAAATGCCAGAAGGGCAGGTCTGGGTATTTCAGAAACTGTTGATATACTGGGATTTTCACACACATCCCTCTCTAGGGTTCACAGACAATGGCCCAAAAAAGAGAAAATATCCAGAGCGGCAGTTCTGTGATAGAAAATGCCTTGTTGACGCCAGAAGTCCGAGGAGAATGGCCAGAGCTGATAGAAAGGCAACAGTAACTCAAATAACCACTAGTTACAACTGAGGTCTGCATAAGAGCATCTCTGAATGTGCAAACGGTGTTTTGATCAAATCCTTGTTTAATATTGGCCAACAACATTTAATTCAAATGTCCACTTAATCTTTAATATTTTGTCACTTCTGTATGATAGAAATCCCCATTGTATCCCCCATTTGCATGATTTTAAAGGTTGTTTAAAGGTTGTTGGGCTGTCGGTGGCCTGCCATCTGAGGCAGATCAAATAACCACTCCTGATCTTGACAATTGTTACATGATGAAGTGTTCAGTGAGCAGAAACAGCAGAATGATTGAATGATATGAATGTGTGATTAATTTATTGAAACATGGGTTCACAGCTATAGATGTAAAGTTACTGAAAACCTAATCTTGAAAACAAAATAAGCATCTTCAACTAGCAATGCAAATATGTATGAAGCAAAGGAATTTTAAACTAAGTATTATAATCAGAGCCTCAAAATGTTTCATGAAACGTATCTGTGGTGAGCAGGACGAGGCACCGGTCTCGTATCTCTCACGGAAGAGCGGAAGCATAAAAGGAGTAGCGACGACAGATGAGATCGAGAGAGGACAGGCCTGAACTTGTGTTGTGCTTGTTTTGTTATATGAGACAGCAGCCCCTCCACTGTCGTAATCACGCCACCGGCCTCGCGCCGCTCTCATGGCCCTTGGCCTCGTTCTGCCACAGTATCTATGCGGCAAAGCAATATTAAAAAAAATGTCAAAAGTTCATTTAAAAAACATAAGATATTAGTGTGCACTATTTTGATTTGTGATATTCCTACTGTTTCATTCCTGTGTGAAGGACCATTATAATTATCAATTCTCCCCACAATAACACATAAAACTGTTTTGAAAACTCAGCATGGTAAAAATACAGACATATATGAAACAGTCTGATCTCCAAATGAAAGAGAAATAACCAGCTCCAGAATCAAACACTACAAGTTTCATTGTTCATGTACATCTGAAATTAGCACAGATGCATGTCTTAAAAACACAGTGACAACATGAGCGAGTCCCTGCCAATAAATACATAAATAAAAAACCCACTTATACATGATTTAACAGTAGATATATTATGGATTTTGTTACCTTTTTGTTTCCAGCAGAAAAAAAGAGAAAACAACTGTTAAATCGAGATCTTGAAGAAATGTATTATGACATGATCACTTCTGATCAACTTTTGTGTTGCTTATCCTTGAAAATTGGGTTGTTTTGCATCTGTGAGTTTAAAAGACAAATCTCTTTAACAATACCAATAAGTTATTTCTGTAAAGTAGTACAGAAAACAAATATAGTTTAAAATTTATACAAAATGTTCCTTCACATGATTCCTTTAAAAAACAAAAACAGTTTGTTTTTATGTGTTTGTAGAACAAACATAACAGTTCTGCTCTAAGTGTTTGTTATATTAAAACTGTATTTATGTCATTCCCACAGTTGTTTGCATTCTGGCCAACAAGAGACGTCTCAATCTGACACAGAGACACCGAGGAGCCAGAATAAAGGCCAAACCCTGCGTAGAGAGGCTCTGGGAATGTGGAGTGGAATGTGTGCAAGTGTATGACTCTGTTTGTGTCAGAGATGCTGTAGAAGGAGAGAGTGCCAGCCGGCCAGTCCAAATACACCCCTACCCTTTTAGAACGAGATGAGGATGATGGTGAATGCATTTTAGTCCTCTCATTATTGTGCCAGGCTGAGAAACTGTTATCAGAGCAGATGAGCCTCCAGGACTTCTCATTGGAGCCAAACTCACAGTCATTACTCTCTCCTTTCCTCCTGATACCTTATGACGCTGAAACATAGACTCCGTTCTTCCCACTCCACTCAACCTCCCAGTAACAGCGTCCAGACAGACTCTCTCTGCACAGAACCTGAGGATAGCACTTGAATCTCTCAGGGTGATCTGGATATGACTGTGCCTCTTCTACATGTGTTACAGTTCTCCTCCCCTCAGACAGACACAGATGTGTGTGTGCAGTGTTTGGGTCCATTGTGAGCTCACAGGCATCTGTACTCATACAGGAATAGAGATCAGAGAAAGATCATTTACAACACAATAAATGTAGAAAAAAGTCTCACGTGTGTGTGTGTGTGTGTGTGTGTGTGTGTGTGTGTGTGTGTGTGTGTGTGTGTGTGTGCGTGCGTAAAAACCTACATCTTCGTAATCCAGCTGTAATCCTAAACTTGCCCTCATGTTCCAGACTGCGAAAAACAAAAAAGTTAATTTCTGCCAATTTATAACACAAACACAGTAAAGTTTTTGTCTGAAATCTGTTTGTGTTTTTCCTATAGTTTTAAACATATCTGTTGCAGGAAGAAGTCAAATTATTTAACTACAGATGTACATATGTTTTATGTCAGCAGAAGATATATGTATATATATATATAAAGTTCTATCATGAAACTCTAGACGGCACAGGCTAACTGGCAATTTCCACCAACTGCGGAATGGCTGCAGATCCGTTACGGAACGGCGGCGGAGTCAATAGGTTTCCATTAAAGTCAATGGGTCTCATTCATGAAACACGAGCAGAACGAATTTTTGTGTAAATCGTGTGTAAAGTTGTTCTGGCGTAAATTTTCGGATTCATTAAAATGTTCGTATTTTCCAAATGTTAGATGGTACGAAAGAAATCTACACCTGCTCCCAGCCACGCGTAAACAGTGAGTTTAACATCCGAACATTTTGCTCATCATTAATAACGAAGGCTGCATTTTAATTCCCCTTAATCAGGTACATATTTACACAGCATTTTGAAAAAATATTATATATAGTAATTGCATACGGTTTTTCTTTTTACTTCTGGGACTGTTTGATTAACAGATGAAACTCCATTAACTGCATCTGTAATATGCTGCCAAGCTTCCTTTTTTTAGGACCTGATACGCCACTATGTAGCAGCCTATGCTTGAAAATAAAATGTGGTGTTTTGAATGAACTTCTGATAATAAAACTTCGATTTCTGCATCTGAGAAATTTTTCTTTTTCATTCGCTTTTGAGAAGACATGTTGAAATCCTTCGTTTGGTGTCATTATATGATGCCCATATATAGTTGTCAGTCGGATTTAATGGGCGGGATTTATGGTAATTGAGAATGAGCGTGCACGCGCGTCCCATTTACGACTGATTGGAATTCATTAACACACACAGACATATTTCACTATCACATCTGACGTTTACGAAGTATTTGTGAATCAGGAGATGAGTTTTCGGTAAGGTCTCTTTACGCGCAAATCACTCTCATATTTACTCGTATATTTACGAATGTTTCATGAATGAGACCCAATGTGTGTATTTTCACTGA